AATTACGACAGTTATGGTCTTCATTCAGCCTCTGGTTATAAAATCTGGCTGAAAGCCTGCCCGCCACCATTAAACTGAGTCTGTATGGAGAGTTGCCAAAACTGAGCCATATGATGCTTTTCCTTCCATTGATGACATATGCACTGAGACATGAAGGCAGGATCCAAAAATCTCAGGCTGTGTGTGTGTGTGTGTGTGTGTACGTGTGTGGTCGCATGTGTAGGTGTGTGTGTACGTGCAAGACAACAGGTTTAAAATGAGCAATTAACAATCAAAGTAAAGTAGAAGTGAGATGATATGATATGATATGAGTTACACATATGAAATTGGGAACTCAGCTAAGACTTTTGTTTAATTCTACAATCTAAACCCTAACCTTAAAGGCCCATATTGTGTATGGTGGCTTCAGTGACATCTGGTGCATTGTATTATTTTATTCAACGTGGGGATAAATAAGATTGAGTCAAACAAAAAAAGCTGTTCCCAATGCTATCAATCCTCATGGGGTTATTAAGGGAGTGAGTGTACCAAGTTTGTCCCTGTACACTGTGCTATGACAACAGAGAGTGGGAACTTGCTCCCTATACTGGCATCAGACCTAACACAGTGACAGGCAGCTTTCCTGTGGAATTACTCAGCTCCTTCAATTAAAGAGAGCAAATTTGCTGCAATGCACTGGGGCCACTGTCCTGGGTTCAATACTTGCTGTATGCAATTGGCTGCTCCGTTTCACCCACAAAATACGCAGTGAATTCACTTTACAGTATGTTTGAGACATCTCAACGACATGATAAGGCACCAAATCAAAATGCAAGAATTATTTTTATTACTTAACGTTGTCATTTTTCATTTGTAAATGACTATAATGACTATTTTAGATTTACTGATGTATTTTTATTTATATTTTGAAAACTTTATCAGGGTTTTACAGTTACTTATAATAATCGTTGCATTTGATATAGCGTCTTATCACGTCTTTCTGACATCTGAATATTCTGAGCTTCAGAATATACTGTGAAGTGAATTGACTGTGTACTTTGTGGGCAAAAGAATGAGAAATCATTGAAGCTGATGAACGGAGCAGAAATCCCACTTATCTGTGCCAATATATGCACAAATTAATAATCATGGAATTGTTGGAAGTCAAATGTTAAAGTAACTATACTGCTGTATTTTTTATACCACCAACAAGATTCCTTTGGACAATTTTCGGAGTTTCAATTTCTGTTCGGTTTTACAGTAAGCAGCTGTATGACAAAGAGGAAAAATCTCCTCGGTAGAGCTGAAAATGAACAAAATATGCTTTCACGTTCACAGAGCCGAAAATATTAAGGAAGAATGAAAAAAAGAAAGAAAGAATGCAAAAAAAAAGAAAAAGAAAGAAAGAAAGAAAGAAAAAAAGAAAGAAAGAAAGAAAGAAAGAAAGAAAGAAAGAAAGAAAGAAAGAAAGAAAGAAAGAAAGAAAGAAAGAAAGAAAGAAAGAAAGAAAGAAAGAAAGAAAGAAAGAAAGAAAGAAAGCCTGGTTTTGCCCCGACAATTTTGAACATGAATAAGCTGTTTCTTCCCTGTCAATTGTGATATGCCATTTGTACTCAATATGCGCTCCACTGCTATACAAATGCATACAAATGAACAGGCTTGGCACCGAATGAGTATGGTAACGAAGTCTAATCTACTGAAAACCACATCCAGCATCAGTCCTGCCTGAACTACAGTAACTGGCTGTGAGTTACCCAAGGATACAGTATTTCCACACCATCGCAGCTCCACTCAGAAAACCTTTCCACTAACTTCTCAACTTGTTAACTCCTTGCTCCAGCAGGGACGTGGAAAAAGGAAGGGGGATGGGGGGGAAAAGGCAACACGAAAGGGGGGGAAAAAAAAGAGCAAAAATGTGCCACTTCAGTAATGATTTAACTACGCCTTAATTAAATTTTCATCACAACCTGCTATGCGATTTAATGGCCTTTGGGAAACAAAAGAACAATGGCTTGGGGGATAAAGGATTTTCAGCTACATCCATTTGTGTAAACCCTGTTCTCGCTCTTGCTTGAGAAGCCTCATGCCTTTTGTTCGTCCATTTCATTTACCAGTAGAGATAATGTGCAGATTCGGTAACCATTCTAATATATAACTGTAACCTTCCCTGTAACACAGCCCTCTGGAGTATGTTCGCTCCCCCGCTACAGACACAATATCATTCAGTGTTGCATGTTCACCTCAATGTGGAGTGACACGCCAAAAACATTAACAGTTATTCACGTAATCATTTGTGGCAAACTAGCGCAACACACAAACACACTGTGAAGGGCATTTAACGTTCAATTCACTAAGGAGAGAGAAAAAAAAGAGCAAGATAAGAATCTCCTGTAATAACACAACAGAATGTGCAACAACTATGCAAAATGCAAAGGACTGACTGGAAAACATGAGAGACAATGAAACTAAGTACTGATTTTTATCAGCATTAAAATAAGGTGATGAGATTATCACTGTTCTGCTCGGCACTTCAGTTAGATTAGCACTGAAAATATTACAGAAAAAACTCCTTTATTATACCTTTCTGTGCCATTTTGATCATTTCTACAAATGGACTTTGCCCTGCCCTGTCTGTCCGTCTGTCTGTGTCTGTTTGTCTGAACTCTATGGCCACAACTGGTTGCTACTGTCCACTGATGTCAAGTGCAAAGAAATCGAAGAGGGGAATCTTCATTGACCTTTATCACATCAAAATACCACAAAGCCACTTTGAAGCAACTGTTGTCGAATGTAGTGACTTTTGTAGGCAAAACCTTGGGCAAGTTTCCTTACTCCACACAGAGCCTAATAATCCCTCCAAAAACCCCAAACAATAATAAATTGGTCATTTTCAATCTACGACTGTTTGTGGGACATTGCTGTGCGCAATTGGCTGCCGCGTTCGCCCACAAATATACAGTCAATTCACTTTACAGTGTGTTCTGTGAAGCGCTTTGGGACGTCCTCCAAAGCGCTATATCAAATGCAAGGATTATAAACGCAGCAGCTCTGCAGCACGCACAGTGACATGACACAAAAGCCCTCGGGTGAAACAATCCATCTATCTGCTGGATTGATACTTGGTCGGGAGATTGGGGGTAAATTCTTTCCTCTTCCTACAGTAAAGCCTTGTTATAACATGGTGGTAAAACCCCAAACGGTGTTACAATGTGCCAGTCAGTTCTTCCACATTCACTGTGCGTACATGCAGAAAGCCAGTTGGTTTCCTGCACTAAAAAAATAGCCAAATTCTGGGTCATCAGGTCACTGTCAATCTCACTCTCTGTGCATTGAGCAACAAGCATGTACTGACATTCATAGGAACCGATGACCTAGAGATAAACTATTCTTTAACACCAGAGAAGCCGACTTGTGTTCCGAAGTGAGCTAGCGAGCGAGCCGGCGAGCAGACCAACGGCTTTTTGCCCGCAGTTTTGTATTGGTAGTCACGTTAATGTCAGAGTCCACACACCTCGCCAGCTATACAATAGTAATAATAATAATAATCCTTATATTCGTTACAGCACCTTATCACGTCTTTGAGACGTCTTAAAGCTCTTCATAGAATATACTGTAAAGTGAATTGACTGTATATTTTGAGGGCGAAACGCAGCAGCCAATTGCGCACAGCAGCGTCCCACAAACAGCCGTGGAAGTCTCAGTTTGGTTTGGATACTCTTAAGCATGGTGATGGTTTAATCGGAGTTTCCACCTATAGTTGCGTGCATCCCATCTTACGCATGGATATTCCGGAATATTTATTGGAATAGAAGAAAATGCACACTGGAAACTTGGTTGATGGGTCTCAAACTCCATCTCGTTTGAGTGTCTCTTAAGTTCTTGAATTCTTTTCGTGCAAGGCTTTAACCTTAAAAATAAGCCTTGTGCTTTGGAAAGCCACTTGGCTTTCCATAACAATATTCAGATTATAAATAGGAAGTGTAAAATAGATTTTCTAATTGACTTTAATGATGGTGTGCTGTATTCCACGCCACCTGTTTGATGGCTTTTTAAAATCAGTGCGAAAATCCTTTGGCAACAACTTAAAACAAAATAATTTGGGCAGATGCCCATTGAAATACAGCGTAATTAAAATAATAAAGAAAACAGGTTGCCACAGGCATCATTACTGATCAAACTGTTCATCTGTGCCGGTAACCGCAATAATTTTTTTAGTCCCTATTAATGTGACCGCACTAACAAAACTAAGCGAGTACACACACAAAAATAATAATAATGTGGTCACTCAACCCACGGCTGTGTGTGGGACGCTGCTGTGCGCAATTGACTGCCACGTTTCGCCCACAAATACGCAGTCAATTCACTTTACAGTATACTCTGTGAAGCGCTTTGAGACATCATGAAGATGTGATAAGGTGCTATATCAAATGCAAGAATTATTATTATTATTATTATTACTTTCTCCGAAAGTTAGTTCTTCCCAGCCTACCCATTCTCCCTCCACAACAACCATCTGATTTCAGTTGAGAATAAATCCTTCAAAATGTATACATGTATATTTTTAAAAGTCACCCCATAAATGTAGCTTTTCATGCAAATAATTAATAAATATAATTAAGATAGCCGTCTTTTAAAGTGTTTTACAGTACACCTAAATGCAATTAAATTCCATTTGCCTGTTTTGGTCGGGTTCATCTGAGCAGTTTAGCAAATGCAAGATACAGTACATAGACCTGGCATAGGTGACAGTGTCTAATTAAGACAGAGTGTATGCGAATGAGGACTTCACAAAGCTGAGTGATAGATGCTTTTACCACAACGAGAGATTAGGTGTTGCATATGCAGTTGCCACAAAAACCTTTCTACGAATTTTCTTTGAACTGACTGGCAGTAAGTACAGTATATTAACACATAGACCTTTCACGTTGTTGCCTGTGAATAAAACAGCAGTATGTGTACAGACAGAAGTGGGTTCCTCCTCTGGATCCCAAAACACAAACACCTTTCAAACGCAGACTTACCCTCAGGCTCACTTTTGATGAGCTCTTCCATTTTTTTCTGCTTCAGTGTGTCCACTACATCAGCCAGGCTGCCTTTACGCCTTTCTGGGGTCCCCAACACTGTGCTCGACCCTGATTCGTTGCACTGTCGACCCCCTTCTTCAGTCTTGAGAGGTGAGGTAGATGAGTTGTGTGTGGGAAATAAAGTCACCGCTTTATTACAGTCTTGATCCTAAAAAAACATTAAGGGGTGGGGTAGAGAAAAGGCAAATGGTTGAATTATTTTAAAATGACAATCGCAATAATCCTTGCATGTGACATAGCGTCTTATCACAACATCGAGACGTCTCAAAGCGCTTCACAGAATACACTGTAAAGTGAATTGACTGTATATTTTGTGGGCGAAACGCGGCAGTCAATTGCACACAGCAGCGTCACACAAACAGCCGTGGGTTGAGTGACCAGTACTTATTATTATTATTTATTTATTTTTGTGGGGGAGGGGGGGAAGGGTTTATTACCCCCGGAAAAGCGATCCTCCAATTGACTAACAACCGGGTTCCTACTTACTGCTGGGTAAACAGAGGGGTGTGGAGTAAGGAAAGAGACATATCCAAGTCACTCAAGGTGATAACTTGCCACAAGCAAGCGGTGGATAGCTTTCCTAAGACTTAATTATAAAAGAGTTCAGATATTCAGGGCTAAAGGGACTGACCTGCCTTTGTTAATCATCGTTAATCTTTACCTAATCCGCTGCATTTATTTATCATGTCTTTACCTGTCTGATTGATAGGAGAAGTCAAACCGTCACATTGGGTTGATCAACACCGAGCAAATAATTTCAAGAAAAATCATGATGAAATCTTACTGAAAGATAGAGAATCCGCCAAAAAAGGAACAGCAGCAGTCTTGGGGTCTAGAGAGAGCTCACACCTAGCCAGACTGTCTGGGCTTTCTTAAGTGTTTGTTAATAGGGATCACAAGTGAGGAAATAAAATAGCACAAGCAAGTCAAGAGGAAATCTAGAGTTTGTCTTGCCCTGTGTTGGGAGTCAGTTGGGGAAAACATGATGGCCAATATTCTTCCTCACTCGCTCCCTCCCAGGTACTGTTGCTAGCTGCCAAGAATCCTGGCACTAAAATGTATTTTGATTGCTGGCAGAATGACGAGAAATATTAACATGCCAATTGTGAGACTAGCTGGTAGCACAGTTGGCTAGTTTTCTATCTCTTCACTTTTCGGACCTGGGATTGAATCCAGCCCCAACTTGATGGGAGGACATTTTTTTTCCTCTCTGCCAGACAGCTGTAAGGGTCTTATGAGCTTGGGCAGTCTCCATCCAGTTCTTGTTGGATGGGAGCCCAAAGCACAAACAAGTGGCACTAAATTGCTAACCTTAAGGAGAATGGAACTATAGTATAGTTTTTCTTGTTCTTCAGAGACAGGGTTGAAAGCACATTGTTGGGTGGAAGAGAGAAGCACATTAGAGGAAACTTTACTCTATATTTTACCCTCTTTGTAGCAGGTACTCTGATCACTCAATCCATCACTGTTTGTGGGACGCTGCTGTGCGCAATTGGCTGCCACGTTTCACCCACAAAATACCCAGTCAATTCGCTTTACAGTATATCCTGTGAAGTGCTTTGAGACGTCTCGAAGATGTGATAAGGCGCTGTATCAAATGCCAGGATTATTATTATTTATTATTTGCATTTCTTGCATCCTGTTCTGCTTCAAGAAGAATTGATGTAAAGCATTGGGGAAGAACTCGCAACAAGAGATGAGTAAACTCATAATCAAACTGAAGTGGCTTGAATTAAGTAATGGGTGCCTGCAGGACTCAAATCCTACACTTACAGAAGGTTTGTCAGGATACAGGAAATCTAAGCCAGTTCAAATCAAAAGGTTTGGTATCAAATCATGTATATATATGCCTAGAGGTCCTATATAAGAGATATGCCTTGTTTATTTTCACTTATGGGGCATGTATTTTGCTGGAAACTGCAAACTGCAAGTCTCCTACAGGCACCTATATCACGACCTGACTAGAAGTTGTTTTGTTTCCAGCCCAACTCAGTTTGAATTTCCTGTCTGATTTCCAACACAAATTATGTTTGTCTGAAGACGTTGATCTGAATCCCCCAAGCTCTATAATGACATAGTGTAGTCCTGTAGCTCAGCAGTTAGTGCATTTGCCTCGCAAGCGAGAGGACCCAGGTTCAATTCCCGGGCAGGGCGAAACCTTAGCCAAGTTTCCTTACTTCACATGCCTCTGTTTACCGAGCAGTAAGTAGGAACCCGCTTGTTATTCGACTGGCAGATCGCTTTCTGGGGTAATAATCCTTCAAAACCCCCCACAAATTTGGTCACTCATTCCAAGACTGTTTGTGGGACACTGCTGTGTGCAATTGGCTGCCACGTTTCGCCCACAAAATTCACAGTATATTACAATACATGTAGAATACAATATATCCTGTGAAGTGCTTTGAGACATCTCAATGATGTGATAAGGCGCTATATCAAATGCAAGGATTATTATTATTATTATTATTATTATTATATTCAGAAGTAGTCAGGGCATTGGATGTAGCCTGACTTTGGTACTGAAGTAGTTTGCAAACACTATGGTCCCTGGCTATCCCCAGGCAGGAATATCATTCCTTCCCTGCCCCCCTACCCCCTACCCCATTGCACCTGCACATTCACAAAAAAAAGACAGCACATCCCCATTAAAGTATGGATTAGTTCAAATTATGAAGCCGGCTATAAATTATAAAAGGGAATATTTGCAAAGCATTAATGTTTTATTGCTTATCCAATAAAAAAGGCCATTCCTGGCAAATCCTCGAGAACACAAAGGGAAAAGCATAACTATAAAAACACATTATTTTTAATAGCCTGCGTAATAAAGCTGATACATTTAGTAATTAGGTACCAAAAAGTGACTTTAAGGCTAAGGGGGTATGGGCCTTTTGCTAATTTCATATTAGAGCTATAAATGTGAATTGCCTTAGCCGGGCCTTTCAAGAATAACTTATTTCCGTACATTTTGTTATAATTGTGCTAAATTTCCCCCATTCTATTCCAGTTTCCTCTATATTCCAATTAATTTCCACTTATACTACCCTGAATAGCCTCCCACTACCACTCTAATGAAACAGACATCTCTGAATATATTTGCTTTTATCTTCTGTGTTTAATCTATGAGTTTAATATCTAGTGAAATTGTTTCCCCATTTCCACAGTATATTCATATATGAAAGGAGGACAGTGTAGAAACACCTATCACCTCCATCTTTATGTTTCAAATGTTAAACGAATGTCAAATGTTAAACAGCGCAAAATATGTTTTATTTTTTAGGGAGGGGGGGGTGGGATGTTTTTAATGAAGACTCACATTTACGTGGTTGAATGCACACACCCACACAAGCGAGTGCAACATAAGACTGAACTCTGAGCCCACAGCAAGCTGTCCAAGCAGGTAGTTATAATGAAAACTAAAGAGTCTGTTGTGCATATAGCTGGTGGCATTCAACTTTAATTTAATTAACTAAGAAAGGACTGTAAGTAGTGTCAAATTGGCAAAATGATGGACTTAATTTTCCAAAGCGTTTGAGAAAGTCTTGTTGCATGCGTCTCTCGTTCTTCCCTTGTATCACCCTCTCCCCAACAACTCCCTCACCCTCTACCCGCTCCCCCCCATCCCACACACACACACTCACACAAGGTCACAAGTATATCATTGTCTACTCATTCATGTCAGAGAAGCGATGGTTATATCTAAATAAGAGTAGTGGTTAGTGCACTCGCCTTGCAAGTGAGAGGATCCGGGTTCGATTCCCGGGCAGGGCAAAACCTCAGGCAAGTTTAGTTACTCCACTCGCCTCTGTTTTCCCGGCAGTAAGTAAGAACCCAGTTGTCAGTCGATTGGCGTATCGCTTTCCGGGGATAATACTCCCTCCAAAAAAAAAAATTTTGATCACTCAATCCACCACTGTTTGTGGGACGGACACTGCTGTGCGCAATTGGCTGCCTCGTTTCACCCACAGAGTCCTGTAGCTCAGTGGTTAGAGCACTCGCTTTGCAAGCGAGAGACCTGAGTTCAATTCCAGGCAGAGGGCGAAACCTTGGGCAAGTTTCCTTACTCCACACAGAGCCTAATAATAATCCCTCCAAAACCAAAACAATAATAAATTGGTCATTTTCAATCCACGACTGTTTGTGGGACATTGCTGTGCGCAATTGGCTGCCGCGTTCGCCCACAAATATACAGTCAATTCACTTTGCAGTGTGTTCTGTGAAGCGCTTTGGGACGTCCTCCCGACGTAAAAAGTGCTATATCAAATGCAAGGATTATTATTATTATACAGTCAATTCACTTTACAGTGTATCCTGTGAAGTGCTTTGAGACGTCTCGAAGATGTGATAAGGCGCTGTATCAACTACAAGGATTATTATTATTATCCTTGCCCACCAGTGAAGGTGGCCGCTTTGCAGAAGTTGTAATTTACCAACATCGGCAATAATTATCATTTTATGATATAACCACAGGAAGGCACTTGGGACAATAACTCAGGACAAGAGGTCAGGATAATGAAACAAGGGGTCAGGCCATTGAAGCAGTACTCCCTAAAGTTTCCTTCCTGTAAACAGCGCTTTTGTCTAATATCCTCCTTTATGATAGCTCCACTATGCCAAATCGTGAAAGGGTTTCAATGCAGAAAGAACATAAATATGGAAAATTATTTGAAAGAGCCAATTTGCCAAACGAAAATATCACAGACAATAAATAGATAATCCTTGCATTTGATATAGCGCCTTATCATCATCTGGAAGACGTGAAAAGCGCTATATTAAATGCAAGGATCATTATTTTTATTATTATTTTCACATCTTTGAGACGTCGCAAAGCCCTTCACAGGATACACTGTCAAGTGAATTGACTGTGTATTTTGTGGGCGAAACGCGGCAGCCATTTGCACACAGCAGCGTCCCACAAACTGCCGTGGATTGAATGACCAAATAATCTAGTGATGTAGCAAATCTATTGAAAGAGCTGGATCCTATTTTTGAAAGAATCCAGAAGGAACTTTCAATAGGGCTACTGAACAATGAAGTAAAAACGTAGAATGAGGTTTCAGATGCAGCCGTCAAACATGCCTTTGAGCAATAATGTTGGCCACTTGTACATACAGTGATGGGTTTGTTGAAATCAAAAGGCTTCTTTTCAAACCCCTGCACACACACACACACACACACACACAACTATGTGAACTTTAATATGTCAAATCAACATACTTTGATTTTGCATTGAAAACAGAATGTCTCTTACTGGTTTACTTGCAGAGTGATTCCTTCGCCAGTGAAGCCTTTCTGCGATTAAACGTTTTTTTAATCCCAAGGGAGCTATCTTACAAACTCACAGAATTTTTACCTTCATACATCGGGATATGGTGGGTAATGTTTTAAGTCTGAATGTGTAATACTATATAAAAAGAAGCACTGGTTAATTAAAGGAGTCAGTAAAGAAAGTGCCAATGTTTCCCTACCTTGTGAATACTGCCACCAAACCCAGGAACACCCTGCTGTTTCAAAGAGATTTAAATACCATCACTACATCATCTTCTCTCGGCAGCAATTTTCTAAGATGAAGAGGTCACCACTGTTTAACTGTGTTCTACTGCGTTAATTCAGTATGACAAGATAAAGCAGTAATCTGTGCTCTGAGAGTCTGTAAGCTCCACACTATCTAGGGATGCACCAGTAGATTTACACTGTATATCACTTTATACAATTGCTGTGACAAAGCCCTTGAGTTCTCTCGAGTCTCTAATGTAAATCTCTCTCAACTTCTCTGCCAGTCAGAATGGATTTGGGTTGTAGGTAATCTATGCAAACTTAATGTCTTACACATGTGAATGGACACAAGCCTCAGAGAAGATGTTTAGGTCTTAAATAATCCACTGATCCTGCCTCGGTATCAGCTTTTTTTTGTAGCCGACATTAAACAATCTGCTGGGTTGATGTCATTCCATCCAACATGAACGATTAAGCCACATTTTATGTTCGGAGATTTGCTTTTGGAGTAATGATAGCTTACAAAGTGTCTCATTGGTTAGACTCGAGAAGATTATCCATAAATACAGATGCGAATATTGTGACAGACATGAAAATGAATTATCAAACGGTAAAAGTCTAAGCTGAGGAATTTTACGATATTCACAAACATCCAGCGAGTCCCCTCAGATTGGTATTGATGTACTTTTTCTTTTGAAAAAAAAACAGGTCAATATTAGGTTTGTTCTGATTATTCACAGAATATTCATAGCTCAGCGGCTCAGTCGCGCGCCTTTAGAATACATCACGGTTATATTTTATAACTCGGCAAAGGCCTAATAGGTAAAGGCACCGTGAAGTGCAGGGCAAAGCTGTCCATTTTGAGTTTGGATTCCCAGGCTTTGCTGCTGTTTGTGGGCCTGACCTAACACAGGCGCTTGACTTCAACAAATCGCGTCAGCTCCTTAGGTTCGCGGATGTTATCCAGTGACACCTCCTGGAGGGTGAATGTCTGCGGCCCTCAAGTGAAACAAGATCAGCTCAGGTCTGAGACCTCCGCACAATCAAATAGACCAGCGATACTTGCATAATCATAATCCTTAGAAGAGGACCTGCATTTGATGCAGCGCCTTATCATGTCAAAACCCCCGATTGTCCAGCGCCCTAGGACATCTTTCCGACGTGAAGGGCGCTATACGAGTGTAATTTCTTGTTGCTCTTTTTGTCATTCGGATGTCCCAAAGCGCTTCACAGAATATACTGTAAAAGTGAATTTTCTGTGTATTTTGTGGGCGAAACACGGCGGTCAATTGGGCACAGCAGCGTCCCACAAGCGGTCGTGGATTGAGTGACCAATTTTTTTAATATATCAAGTAATGGCTAAAATAATGCAACTCATAACTTTATAGCTTGTTGGTCAGCATATTGGTTGCTTATTCTTTTGGACCGGATTTATTTTGAATATGCTGGGAGGTGAATGGCTTAGTGAGCACAGTATCTGTTCAGCTTCGGCTGCTTATGTTTGTTTGCTTGGCTACAAGAATGCAAGGCAAAAGGTCTAAGCCATCTCTTATTGTTCGCGAATCAACAGCTAAAAACAACTGTCCACGAAAGTAGCACAAATTGGCACTAAACTGCTGCAGTCTTGTTTGGAAATAATGACTAATGGGCAACAGAATTATCCCAGTATGATGTGCTCTGCAGAGGTTGAGAGTTGTTGAGAGTTTTATTTTACATCTAAGCCCATGCAAACGTTGACCTGGAAAGGCCTTCCCTGTTGAGAGTCTCACCTCGTGGGGAACACAATAATTCATCCACAAAAAAAATTACAAGAAGTGTGATCAAACCTAAATTTGTCTTATTATCAGCTATCTTTTGTTTCTGAGCTAAAGCAATCCGTAATTGAATTACCAAACTCGCGCTGCGTTTGTTGATAGCCTTTCCGGCGATGTATTTTTGGGACTTAATACAGCTATTCCCTTTCTACGCTCATAATAATCCTTGTGTTTGATATATACAGCATTTTATCATGTCGCCAAGACGTCTCAAAGCGCTTCACACAATACCCTGTAAAGTGGATTGACTGTGTATCTTGTGGGCGAAACGCGGCAGCCAATTGCGCACAGCAGCGTCCCACAAACAGTCAGGGATTGAGTGACCAAATTATTCTTATTTTTTGACCCTTTGAGGAAACCTACCTGGTTTCCACTCCAGCCACTGCACCACGACAGCCTGGTTAAAGTCATCAATGATGTTCTTTCCATCTGTAACCAGAGTTACCTTTGCCTCCTCGTTCTCCTTGCATTATTACTATTATTGCATTCTCTCTATCCTTCTCCATTCTCTCCTCATTGCCTCAGGGCTGTGTACTTTCCAGGTTTCATTCTTATCTATCCCAGCATTTTCAGTTAGCCTCTTCCAATGGATTCTTCATCCACCATGCAGGATTCCCTCATCTCTCCCCTTTCCACATACTTCATGTTGTGATGTTGTCCATAGACTAACCTATGAGGACCCTTCACCTCCTCTCTACACAAGGCCTAGGCCATCCAGAACTCTGCAGCTTGTGTCCTACCTCCATGACTTCCTGTGACGCTACTTCCCCAGTCACTCCTTCCACTTAGCAAACACTAACCTAAGTTAAATAAAATGATTGTAGCTCAGTGGTTAGAGCACTCGCCTCGCAAACGAGAGGACCCAGGTCTGATTCCTAGTCAGGGCGAAACCTTAGGCAAGTTTCATGTCCCTCCCCAATCTGCCCCTCCATTGGTGGGCAAGCCTTGAATCATCCTGCCCTACAACAACAACAACACAACAACAAGATTACACTTGTATATCGCCTCACATCAGGAGGACGTCCCTACTTTGGGACTGAAGTCCCTCTGCCTTGCTGCCCTCCCTCCTCACCTTCGAACCGTACCTCGAGATGTATCTTTTTGACCGTGCTTTTGACCATCCTCCCCACTCTCCGCGCCTGCCACTTTCCCCCAAGCTGGGGCTCCCAGGCAATCTTAAGAGCATAAGAATTTGCTGGACTCAAGATGACCAAGGGCCATCCAGTTCGCCTTCCACCATCCTGGCCGTCGCTTTCACTTGCAGTGTCCCAAACTATATAATGTATCCCCAGATAATAAGAATGTTTGTGAAGCGCTTTGAGACATCCAGTGTGAATTGTCTATTGTAAATGTAAGGGCGAGGAACACAAGTACGTTCTTTCTATTTAAGACTGTAACGGTTTCAAACCATTATTTCTCAATAATGACACCTCGGCAGATCATAGAGACACAACATCTTCTTCAACTGACGGCCAAGAAATAAACCTACCACTGGGTCATGAAGAGACAATGGACTTCCGCAACAAAGAGTCTCTCTAGTTAACGTGGGCAGTGCGTGCAGCTCCTCTGAATGAGGGTTGTTGTTGGAAAAGCTCGGGGGAAGAGTCAGGTGAAAAGCGGAGTGTCCATCACTTTCTCCATCTTCTACTTTCGGCCTGTTGGTCACCATCGCTACGTCTCCATCTGTGTCCCCGTATGGAGAGGCTGGTCTCTTGGAAGACATCCTTTAGGAAGAGAAACAAAAAGAAGTAATGTAACTTATCAACCTGTCCGCTCCCTCCGCTCAGCAGGCTCTGGCCTGTTCCCTCTCCCCCCACCCCCGCCCGGCCCACCCCACCACCGGCGGTCAGATCTTCAGCCTCTCTGCCCCTACCTTCTGGAACTCCATCCTACATACACCTTCACCTCACCCCCTCCCTTGCCTCCTTCAAGGCACCCCTCCATTTCGACCGTGCCTTTGGACACCCTCTCTGCCCTCCACCCTCCCTCATCCCAAACCCCACCCCCCACCCCCGGCTGTTCGGGTCCTAATCCCTGACTGACCAGCGCCTTGGGACGTCCTCCCGACATGAAAGTCGCTTTACAAATATAATTTTGCATTGTATTCTCTTCATCAAACACTGATACAGTGCTATCGATTGTACCGTTCAACATGTCACATCTTGTTCTGATCACGGAAAGCCATGTCACTAACATACCTGACAGAAATATATTCACCGCCTCCCTTTTTACTCAGGCAAGACTTTCAAAGTTCATTGGGTCTAACTTTTAAAGAAATGCAACTCCAGTCTCTGTTACCTGGGGTAACTTCTTGCTGTCCTTTGTCATTAAGTTGCAGCACAGTAAAAACCTTCTGACAAAGTAGAGGTTAAAGACGTGAGTTAAGTTGTCTGGCCTGTGAAAAGCTATGAAATCAATGCTGTCCCTTTAATTTGCTTTACTACTGTCCAGTGCTAACAGAACTAAACATTACATTCACATTCAGGCCTGTGGGCATCAATCCTGCAAACTAGTATTTGCACACACTTTTGCTCTAACCAACGCTTGACCTACAGTAGGGAGACAACTTTAAACCATGGAATTAAAAACCTTGCTATGCGTGGCATGTTCCCCTGACTGACCACTGAGGCCTGGCATCTGCAGAATGGCTCCTTCTTTGGTTCTCTGGTCAAACGCAAAGAGGAGTGTAACTCAAGTCAAATTGTTGTTCAAACGGGAAGGAAAGCGTGGAAGGGAAGTACTTCGACAGAAAGAACTCCGCCTAGACTTTACTTCCCTTTTAATTAGGGCTCTCAGCAAGTGCGCTCTCATTTACTGTAAACAGAATCAAATGTTGGGCATTTGCATCTTGTGAATTCCTTACTCGTTGTGGAGATAAACATGCTGTAGGTATGTTTGTGGCGTGTTGTGATTCAACTCCCGATTTCCATCTACAAGGTGCACCAAGGAGCTATATTATACGCTTGACATTTGTTACAGAGAAGGTATCACATTCTCAGACCAATGCTTTGTTCACTATCTGTGCCAAGTGTTTTGTGGTAAGCGTAGAATAGGAAATCCCTTTACAGGAGTTTGACAGAAAAAAACATATTGCTACATCCACCAACAGCACACAGATAGCTGTCACTATCTGTGTCTGTGGGAAAGGGAAACATAGCAAGATTACTTTGTCACTTTAAAAGGGCCATTCTCATCCTTGGGAGATGATAAGGACTTGATCTTAACAGCTCCCAGGAACAAGAGAAACAATAGAATAATAATAATCCTCGCATTTGATACAGTGCCTTTATCGTGTCTTCGAGACGTCTCAAAGCGCTTCACAGGATATACTGTTAAGCAAACTTAATGCTCACACCACACAACAATGATCCAGCCTGCATTGACAAAATATATATTTTTCCCCTTAAAAAAAATTCTCTGTAAATCGAATCACGAAACGTCACAGTGATCGATATCTGTTTTGGGGAGAAAAGGGATTTTCGAGGAACAGGCTGGTGGCATTGTTGAAGACTGATTGAACAGTCCCAGAAAAAGCAGCATTGGCCCTTTTTCAAGGGACACGAGCCAAAAAGCAAGATCATTTTTAGGAGCACGCGAAAAATTGCGTCGATGTTATCTGCGGAGATGCCCACAGCTTGAGTTGTTATTCCCCCCTTCACTCCCTCACACGTGGCTTTAAGAGAAAAGAAGATAAATAATGAATTTTAAACATGATGTAGTGGTTACAGCGCTCGCTTCGCAAGCGAGAGGACCCGGGTTCGATTCCCGGGCAGGGTGAAACCTTAGGCAAGTTTCCTTACTCCACACGCACGCCTCTGTTTGCCCAGCAGCAACTAGGAACCCAGTTGTTAGTCGATTGGCGGATCGATTTGCCGGGGGTAATAATCCCTTCCCTTCCCTTCCAAAAATAAATTTTAAAAAATTATAATTTGGTCACTCAATCCACGGCTGTTTGTGGGACGCTGCTGTGCGCAATTGGCTGCCGCGTTTCTCCCACAAAATATACAGTATATTCTGTGAAGCTCCATTTGTTTGAGACGACTCGAAGACATGATGAGGGGCTGTATCATTGCAAGGATAATTATGATGATGATTATTATTATTAACCCGGCAGAAACATACATGAAAAAAGAATTGTACAGAATAGTGTGACCCCTGACATTACCTTTCTCCCTTTCTTCAGATTAGTACCAGATAACCCTGTTGCTTCCTCACACCTCTTGCTCATTCATGCTCTGCTTTTAGATATTTTTACTGTAAGCAGTGACGGTAAATCACTAAAACACTACTTATGATTTGCCTTAGGTAATGCGGACAGAAAAACTTTCTTAATGCCAAATTTATTATGGAGTTATGCTGTGCTTTCACATTATACACTGCATCAAGTCTCTGTAAAAATAAATAAGCTCAATATACCCATCATTTCAATTTCCACTACAAGATATCCAGAGGTTGATTTTCCAAAGACCAGGAGAACATTTTCGCACCATCATAACACATAATGCCCACAAATGTACAGTCAATTCACTTTACAGTGTATCCTGTGAAGCGCTTTGAGATGTCTCGAAGACCTGATAAGGCTCTAAATCAAATGCAAAGATTATTATTTAATTATAATGCAATCTTAAAGTTCAAAGTTTTTCAGCATCAATAGTATGGGAGCATCTTTGCACAAAATGTGTGATGGGTTTAATGCAGACAGACACAAAATGGTTTGATCTAAAGTGGTTCTCAAACTGAAATGGATTCACAACATCCTCAATATCATCTTCTGGGTGAGCAAAAGCCGAGGTAACTACTGAGAGCAGAGGAGAGCTCCCAGTAACCAAACTGTTAATCCAGAAATGTTCTGCTCTAACCTCAACTTCAGTTCCATTCTCTTTGACAGTATTAAGCGGTCTAATTTTTTTTCTATATCATTTCTGAACATTTTATGTGATGAAAAGCCTATTCACATACTTAAAGCCCAAAGGACATTCAATACCCAAAGCACTAAATACCAGTCAATTACTTGGATTTAATAATTTCACACCGCTTTTTACAAATATTTGGTCTGAAACCCCTTTCTCAAGGTACATGTATTAGAATTATATTAAATTATTCCTAATCAGTTATCGCTTGCCATTGTCGTTTTGTCTAAACCCCTGGCACAAAAGTCAGATATATGAGCATTCTGACTATAACACTGCATTAAGTGGTTCATTCTGCATTCAATTGAATATGCTGTACTTGAGAATAGTGACATTTAATCACAATTTTATTGTGTAAAGGATTAGACCAAAGATTTCGACACTCGGTGGTTTCTGTCTCACTTCATCTGTGTTGTTGTACGCATAAAATTTCAATGGGCCCCAGATGAATAAACTGCTGTTCTGCAAAGCAGCAGCAGGGAGAGAATGCCAATAATTCAGATACCGGGGGGGGGGGAAGCTTACAAACAATCATCAGTCATCACAATTTGTTTATTTTACTTTGAACATAATAGAAACTTTTCTTCCGTTGCCAAGAAAAATTGTAAAGAGATCTTTGTAGGTGTAAAGAAAACTATTGCTTCTGTGTGGGGTGGGGGGTGGGGGCTGTGTGTGTGTGTGTGTGTGTGTGTGCGTGTGTGTGTTCCCAATTTTAATAAGATTGTAGACAAATGTCCCACAACGTCTGATGCCCCAAGTGACATGCCTTGACAGAACAACGCAGACAAAAATTTTACGTGTCAAACAGTTGCACCTTTTTTTTGATTCAATGGAACAATTCATGCCTTTACTTGTTGAGGGTTTTAGCGCTAACGTTTGCACTCGGTTTTTTTCTCCAACTTGCCTTCACAAGAACACAAGTTTTTTTTGCGTTAAGTTGCGAGATCTGCCAAATCAATAAATAAGTTATGCATTCCATTTGTTTTATGACACAAGAGTTATCAAACGGTAGCCAGGAGCTTTTCTGCCATGTTTTTACATTTTAAAAAAAATCCTGACATTCAAAGGGAGGCAATAAGTGGAACAAGCGCTTTATGCAAAACTCACTCCAGTTACCACAGGAGCCACTGGGGCAAGATAAAAAGCTACAGATGTAGGAGTAATTGTATCAGGACCTGGTGGAATAAAGAAACGCTCTTTATGATAATATAACCCATCACTCCCGTGCAGCCCTGTTCCTCCCTTAGACAAACCAAAGCAATCTTTGTTTTCTTCTGCTCGAAGCTGAGGTTGCCAGCCTAGCTTCCTGTCCAACTTGCCCACAAAACAGCCAGAACAAAGTCCTTAATGTCATAGTGCCATCAATTATCAATAGAACATTGGTAGACACACAGGAAGATGAGGAACTCTCTCCTAACATTAGCATTCCTGGCTCTGCAGCCAATATAACTTCTCACAAACGCAGTGCGTGCAGCATTGGTCAATTGTCTGGTCACGTGAAGACACCACAGACTGAGATCCAAGTGTAATTGTCTAATGTAGTCCTTTTTTTTAATTTCATTTCTTTTTTTTTCTCTCTGCAGATACTTTCACCAAAAGTCAGTGTTGCTGCCTCAAGACCGACCAAACAGCTTGCCACACACTCAAACGCTGCAAACCCTAAGATGTTAAGAAATATCACAGGCTAACAGACTTTTATTACTGTAATATGATCGAAATGCAGATTCTTAAATGAGAACACAACACAAAGCTGACAAATATGAGCAAATCTCAACAAAAGACAGTAAACGGCTAGGCTTTCTTTTCTACTAATA